GGTCCAGTGTCCAGTCAGTGTCCTCCAGCAGCGAGGCGTCTTCCCCTCTGGACTGCAGGAACTCTTTGATTTCACCCAAAACTTAGTTTGCACATCACACGTTTCTATCCATTTTCTATTTGTTTTCATCTTAATATGATCACGTTATGCCTTTTATGTCACACTTCTTTTAAACTGTATTTTTAAACATTATTTTAAACATTATTTCCGCTGCAGGGGGCGTTTATACGTAGTACCAGCTCCCTGCAATGAAAATAAATGTAAAAAAATGTTTTAAAATAAAACTGCATGATGTGAACGGCATTACCTCAAGCAGGGCCTTGTGGGTAATTTCTGTTTAAATGGCTGCACTGGTTTCCAGTCTGATTCTCCACTCTGAACTGGTTTAGTTGTGGCTCCAGCAGCACCTGAAGGCAGCACTCCGTCCATCCTGAAGCCTCCAGAGAGTCTGACCGCCGGTGGGGTGTGTCTGCCGGAGCGACGGAGCCGTGAAGTCAGCGGCAAACACGCACAGGAGCACCGGAAGAAGCACGACTGTGGCTCAAAAATAAAAGCACTGAAATGATTTAAACTGGTTTCAACATGAGTGATAAATATTTGACTGGTAAGAATGAAAGAAGAGGAAGACAATAATACAGGTGGTTTTGGCAGATCAGCTCCCTTTTACCTGTCTTTTTTTTATATATCGTTATTTGAATGTGATTTATTTTTGTCACAATTCTGTCGTCGTCCTGCTCATTTTTATATTTTTGTTACCTTCAAAAAAGAGATTTTAATCTCCCGGGTAATCTTGCAGGAAAAAATAAAGAAAAAAAATCTAATATGAAACTGCAAAAAAGACCTGAAACAATCTAACATGTTTTTTAAAAAAATAAAATAATCTCCAACTGTAAAAATAAGATGCAAAACTGAAAACATTAACATCCAAACTGCAAATCTGACCTAAAACTGAAAAATAGCACATAGAAGAAAATGAAAATCTAATATGAACTTTTTTTTTTTTAAAAAAGAAAAACTAAATTGGAAAAATATGATTTTAAAAAATGTCAAAATGAAATGTCAGACTGCAGAATAATTTGATATGAAACTTTAAAAGCAAAAATGGACAACATATTAACTGGAATAGAAGCAATAACTGACATTAAGATTCAAAACTGTAAAGAAAAAAAACTCCTGCTGCTGCTGCAAAAGATCTGATATGAAAACTATTCAAACAAATATGAAACTGAAACAAATCTGATCATAAAGCTCCCAAAACCATGAAAATAAGATCAAAAATAGGAAATATAAAACTGCAAGTACAAACCTGAAACTTAAAAAATAAGACATTAAACTGAAAAAACAGACATAAAATGGAAACAATATAATCTGAAGGTAAATACGACCCAAAACTGATCCCAGTCCGTGACAATATGAACTGCAAAAACATAAAAACAAATCATTTGAAACTGAAAACAACAATCGCAGATTTGAATCTGTAGAAAGTGAGATGTTAGACTAAAAAGAAAAAAAAAAAAGTAAAATGGAAAAATAAATATCACCTGAATCTGGAAAAACAAGGATTCAACACAGAAAAAAAAAACTGTACTTTATGTTTAAGCCTTTTATTGTTGTGTTTTGTTTGTGTATTGATTTTTTT